TGGAAATGTTTATTATTATGTGTAAAGGTCATTATTATATATGTTTATTCAGTTAAAAATTTTAACTATGAAAAAACACAGTCACCTCCAAATCATAGTGCAGCAAATACAGCGCTGCTCCCATCTCTTTTATCAAACGCCTTTTCTTTTTGTTACATCTTTTATCTCTTAAAATGACTCCGCATCCTGATATTGCTTCTACATCATCATCCGTGTTTGGTTATTCTAAATTCCGGTATGCTATATTGGGAGTTTTGTGGATTTTCTTCTGGAATCGCGATGTTTTTGACTGGAATCGGTTCGTGTGGTTTGTTGCTCCTGCCGTGAGACACGAACCGATCGAACCTGTTGTACTTTTATCAGCTCTGTGGTCACAGAGGTTTGGAGAATCGGCCGACAATTCTTAAATCTTGCCGTCTAAACCAGACTTAAGACTCACAAGCTCTGCTCATCTCCTCTTGACCACTGCCCAAACGCTCTGACTCTGGTCGCTATGGTAACGTTTACATATCCCTTCAAAATAAGATACAGAAGCGCCACAAAAACGAGCATTTTACTTTCGTGAAAATTTTAACTCACGATGACTAACGGGAGCCCTGAGCTTGTTTCTCTGCAACGAGACGGTCCCATCTGGGAGTGATGGGAGACAATGACACCCCAAGTGTCGCTTATATCCACAGACTGCTATGTCTCTACGTGGCGAAGCAGTTTGAAGCTTCATTGCCTCATTAGCAGCCGGTCGCCGCATGTTACAGAGAGAGGCTTGATGTGGGACTCACCTACCGGTCCGGGATAAATCCATCCTCCTGTCTTTTCTCAAGGCCTTTTCCCCTTTGGAAAGAAGTTTTCCAAAGACATCTGATCTGTTTCTTACTCATTTTGCTGCTTGTGGGCTCAGTGTTGGCGCACAAGTAACTGAGAGAATCCGGTTAAAGGATTTTCAAAATAAAAGATCCTCCAGACTCAAATAATACATAAAACGGAAATATTTAATTATTTCTTGCGCGGCCCGGTACCAATTGGTCCACTGACCGGGGCTTGGGGACCACTGTTCTACATCACTGGCATTCCCACAGTTGAACCCCTCCTAGGAGGCTAACCCCAACCCTCCCAAAAGGCGATCCTTTTACACTATGCACTGAATGACTGACACAAGATGATGCCACTTGGCTCTGTCTGAAACTAGTTTTGGACAGAGCCAAGGTGTAGTTCTTGGTCTAGTAGAACAGGGAGAAATTCCTCCTGGATGCACATTTGTTCGTACTAACATTTTTACCAGACTTTGCCTCATTGATGAAATGACCAAATGAGGTTAAGGGTCACTTGAGACTATGACATCTGCAGACATTGAATCTTTATCCAAAATATTTCTGAACTCTCTTGTAACCATTCTGTTATAATAGGTTATGCATGTCATAATTCATTTCTTTTTTTCTATGTTAAAAAGACGGTGGCTGTGTGGAGTAGTTGTCTTGCCTTCAGAAGGTTGTAGGTTTGATTCTAACCCCAAATTGCCTACCTGCGTAGCGGTGTATAAATGTTTGTGAGTTCGAATGGGTGAATGTGACTCCAGTGTAAAGTGTTTTGAGTGGTCAAAATGACTGGAAAATCGCTATATAAGTTTAGTCCATTTATGTGTAAATGCCAGATTTGTATAATTTAGACTATGCAGTTTCCCACCGACAACAATTGTTGCCGACTATAAAACCTACATTTTCACTAACATAACTAACATAAAATGTAATAATTCATAAATATAATGTGTTAGGGAGGACCAAGGATTGAAATGCATGCACTTATTTTGCAGGAATAAATTGGGGATTAAACATTCTTCTCAGAATTAATTATCTACACAAATTGTTTCCATTTAATTGTACCATTTTCTTTTACCAAAGTAGAATTGTAGGTAAACTGGAATTGAACTGAAGGGCTCTTAGACAAAATTACCAGATTAATCTTTTTAACTAACAAGTCTATGATGCGTGATGGTCCCCGAGATCGTTAAAAAAAATAAAAACAGAGACCCCTGCGATGCCGCAAATCGTTTGACGAGTCATTCGCCGCTGAATTAGTTTTCCTTCAAAAATGACTGTCTTATTAACAGGGTTAAATCATAGTCTGCTTGTTAATAAAGACTCAAATTTAGTTACCAACAGAGAATTAACGTGTGTTTCTTTTGTGTTAATTTAATCGCATGCGCACATTACAAATGTTTGTAAAACATTAGGGAAAATACATTTAAAAAATTTTTAAAAAATATTACCAACACATTGCAGTTTCTGCTCAGTATGTCAAAATAACACCAAATCATAATCAGTACAATTTTATACATAGCGTATTATTAACGCTGCAGTTTGGTGTAAAGAATCAAACACCGCAACACTTTACAAAAGGATCCAGTGGTGCTTCTCTACTCAATGCAACACACTAGAGTGCGTGGTTGTGGGTTTATACAGTAAATTATACAAAAATAGCAGAACACGTAGCGGTGTAGAGAGTCGCAGTACTGACGTTTCAATAAAATAAAATATTATTTTATTTTATTGTTCTGTTTTTACCACCAAGCGAAAAACAAGATGTCCAATGTTCATTTCGGCATGGGTTCAATCAAAGTTTAGGTTCGCTTATGTTAAAAAGCCCCATTTCATAGCACACGTTATTTCACTGAGCAATAAACAAAAACATATATTGGTCCAGCTCATAAGTATTTTAACCCGAGGAAATTAACTGTAAACTTGACGCATCAATGAATTTACTTCCAAAGAATAACATTTCCATTAATCTTGCTTCAAGAAAATCTCCTGTCAGAGGCGTCAACGCGTTCTTTTTAGAGCTAAGTTTTTAGCCTTAAAACTTTATTTTTTTATGGAGTTTATTTATTTAATCATATTTTTTATTTGGCTTTGAAACAGTAGCTGTATTTGCATAAATGTGAATGCTACATTCTGTCAGATCTGCAGCAGCCTGCTTTATATTACATTTCTGAGCACAAAAGAATGCTTTGATTTATTCCCCATCCAGACTGAATACGATCTAATCATGTGATCCACAGTGTAACCAATTGGCAGCCGAGAGGACGGCAAGGGCAGGAGAAAAAAATACTACCATTTTAGGGGAGGATGCAAGTCACTATACCAGCCCATCTAAGGTTTTACAGGCGCACTTAAGTGTATTTTTATTGAAATAATAAAATAAACATGTCGCTAACGAATTATTATTCCATAATGGGTGTCCAAACCGAGGAGGCGTACGGTGCGCATTTTATCCCGGGCAGTTTGCAGGGTTCGACGGCCGGGTGCACGAAGCCTACCCGGGCAGCGGAGCAGGAGCAAGAAGAGGAGGGGACCCTGGTCTCACACATCCCGGATTTTTCCAATTTTTCCAGCAAAGCGAGTCTGAATGGCTTTTCTCCTTGGACAAACACGTCTATCTCCACCCCGACGTCTTCCCAGCTACAAAGCGCATCCGGTGCTTCCCTCCCTGGACTCTTTCATCCACACCCCCTCCTGAGTCACCACCACCACTCTTACTACGGCCCACAAGCTCAGACCCACGCTGAGCACCTCGCGTCCGCGGCAGCGTCCGACAGCAGGTTCGTCCGCTGCTGGGAGGGGATGAGCCCGGCCTCGGAGACCACTCTGTCGCAGGTTACACCCAGTTTCCCCGCATGTCTCCCCACTCAAGGGGAACTGTCTAATCCCAGCCCCACCTATGACGCGGTTAAACCAGAGAGTTCGCCGCCGTCCCGCGACAGCGCCGAGGAGTCCAGCTTCGCTAACCCGGCAGAGGTGGTCCTGGAGCGGCTGGGGACGGCGAAAGAGCCCGGGAGGAAGACTGAGCCGAAGAAGGAGGACGAGGAGAGAAATACACGACAGCAGCAGCAGCTCGACCCGGGTACAGACGCCGTTAAACCGAAATGAAGGAATGTTTATTAGCTGTAAGAAAAGTCAATATACAGGTGTGGCTCAAAGTGTGAGAGTGTTTCTAAGGAGTGTGGGGGGTTGGGGGAGGCTGTCTGTAGGTGAGTGCGACCAACTTTTATAGACCTATAAACGTCTTGTAAACGCCAAAATATAAAAGTTTGTAGTCCATTAAAATAATTAAGGGGCTATTGTTATTTAGCAGCTTGTCACTAAAGGATTAGCAGGTTGACTTGGAGAGGTTTTTTTTCTGACTGAATGCGTTTCTCTCCCGCAAATGCAAAGCTTTTGCTTAAAACATGTATTATTATCTGTTTTTGAAATATTACGTAAATGTGTTTTATATCTGATTATGACATAGAGGTTACATATAATTAAACGTTGACTTTTTTTTATTTATTTAAGATTTTATTGTCATTGTGTACAAGCCCTGCTGCCAACGACCAACGCTACATCTAGCTGATGTGTTGTCCTTATGTAAGTTAAAAATATAACAGTAAAGATATAGTCTATGAATAAATGTTTATTGAAGGCACTAAGATTTAGTAGACGTGTAAAAGAAGTAAATAAATGAGATCGAAAAATCCTAAAAACGGAAGATGTTTTTTAGACGCAATTTAATTCAGTTTTAATTTTGTTTATTTCAGTCAGTTCAGCGAGTATCTATGTAGAATAAGTATTAAATTTTATGTTTAGGTGTTCCATCTGCCTCTTTGTATTTATTTTTCAATTTTATTTATGAATTTTTAATTCTTAAATTAAGGACATTGTTCCTTTTTTAACTGGAAAATTAGCACACTATATTATTGTATTACCTGTAGTTATAACATTTAAAAACCAAGAAACAATATATGTAAAATTATAAAAATAACCACTACCATGACAAAAAGAAACAATATACTGGAGGACAAGCTTGACATTTTGACAGTGTTTAATATTTTAGAAATTAAACACTTATGACTAACTAAAATTTAGTTAAATAAGAACAAGCTAGGTTTTGGGAATACATTTTTATATTATTTTAATCAGTTACATGATTTTTTTTTTCTTATGAAGTCCATCTTAAATGAAATGTGAAACTTGCTGCTGATTCAAGATGGTCTAAAAAGGCTTTTATTCCAGGACTAAAGGACTGCTTAACACACATCTGACTCCATTTAACACTAGTTGAACTTCAGTAACTTTGGTGTAAAAAGTGATTTATTTTTCTGTCTTTCTTTTTCACTCTTTAATGGAAACAAGAGTTGCAGGCTCTTAAAGTTTCTCACAGCGGACAAACACACACTAGCTAGACGGAATAACACCACAGTGTGAGTGGCCTAATTAAAGAACGTGCCCTGTCTCTTCACAGAAAATCCATCAGCCAGCTGGATCCACGCCAAATCCACTCGTAAAAAGAGGTGCCCCTACACCAAGCACCAAACCCTGGAGCTAGAAAAGGAGTTCCTCTACAACATGTACCTGACAAGGGACCGGCGCCTGGAAGTGGCAGGACTCTTAAATCTGACAGAGAGACAGGTGAAAATCTGGTTCCAGAACAGGCGGATGAAAATGAAGAAGCTGATGATCCGGGAGAGGAGGAGTATGAATGACTGATGGCTCTGGAGGATAAGTATATATATAAATAAATATATTTTGTCTTTGTTTTTATCTCCTCCATGGGATGGAGGTGTAGAGGGGAAGAGGTGTTGAAGCTAGCTCATTAAACAAAACGCAGAGCCCCATGATGCTCAGCGTCACCTGCCCTTAAAACTGCTACAGGGGAGATCAGGATGCGTTGTAACACCTCAGTGCCATCAGGCCTTCATTTTTTAAATCATCAGAAATCTCCCATCCATGTGTTTTACTGTGAAAACAATCTGGATCTGATGTAAATTAAAAACACATGAAACAATTAACACTTAAAAAAGCAATCAAAAACTGCCTGACCTTAAAGTTGAAATATGTTTAACTACAGAAATTTTCCACCATTACCACAGACACAGATTTTTGTCTAATTCAATGAGATTTGATTTGATTTGTGGTAAACTGACACAAATTATTGCAGAATTATGAAGTTGAAGACAAATTTCACATGTTTTTTTGGTTTGTTTTGTTTTGTTAATCCAAGTATGAAAACAGAGGCAGCAATTTGTTTTAAAACCTTTTAGATCTTAAAAGTAAAATTTCATTTTTTTTTTCATACCAAATTTGATTTCTGATTTTAACCTTTTTCCTCTTTTTTTTCTTAAAACAATTACAAATAGCATCACTCTGAATTATGGAGACCCAAGGAAGAAGATTGATAGAAAATAATCCAGATTTTCTTTAAATTGAAATTTTCAAACACAAGAATTTATTTTATTGATAGAATCAGTTTTTTGTCTTTACTGTTATATGATGCCTGGGCGGGCAATTATTTATCATATTTGTACATTCAACAGCTGGTAAACACAGAAAATGCTGACAAGAAGTAATTTTCTGCCTTCGTTTTGGAGCACTCCAGTGTGGCGCCTATATGCGTTGTATTTGGGACATACCAATGTTTTGTACCTCTCTGAAGAAGACAAAGGAGCAGGTAAAAAAAAAAAAAAAAACATCCCCATGATGAAAACATGGTGGTCGTATCATGCTTTCGGACTTCTTTTCTCCAGATGTCCAGAGTACAAATTCCTGCCACATTTTCAGATTTCCATTTGTGAAAAATATTAAACACAATCATTTTCCATTCCCCTTCATATTTATGCACCACTTTGTGTCAGACTAGCTCATACAATCCCAATCCAAAACTCTGCAGTGTGTGGTTGTGATAAAATACCAATAAAGTTTAAGCTTTGTCAGGCACTATCTCTCATGTCTAAAACTGGAAGCACTTGAAGTATTTTTTGACTTGATGTAAGCTGTTCTTTCAGGAAAAATACAACCACGATTTAATACTGAATTTATCACGCTCTTTGTAAAATGGCTTTTAGTGCGGCAGGAATATAAACACCACTTACTTGAAGGCATCTCTCCAAAATTAGTCCCAGCAGAGCATCAGCACCGCCTGATGATGGAAAATGGGCTTAAAAACAAATAATAAGGTGATACAAGGGAAAAGAGATGACAATTTATTGTGAAATATTTTAATATCCCCTGTGTTTGAGTTATCATATTATGCTTCCTTCCATTCCTGCTATGTTTTCACATTCATGGGATTCACATGGTCACTTAGCCAATAACACGTACAAGTCTGTTTTGTTGGTCCTGCACCACTGAAGGATTGGTTTCATTTGAGAAGCTGTGGTTTGTAAATCCATTAAGCTTCAGTGTTGGTTTCAAATGCAGTTAGCAAAAATATAACATCTATGAGATTATTTTTGTTGTTTTTGTTTTGAAAAATAATCAACTGTGTCTGCAGAAACTCTGACCTGTCGCCCAGTAAAAACGACTTTAACAGCTGAAACTTTAAAACAAGGACTCCTGGAAGGCATCTGCTTACAAAAAGAAACACTTTTATCTTAATTACAATAGCTGCAACTAGGTTTTCAAAATGACTTTTTGAATACCTTTTATGGTTTAAATTTTCTCAAGTGACATAAAAACACAAACATCTGTCTATGTTTAACAAAGTGTCTTTTTGAAGACAGAGTTAAACAATATCTGCATATCTTGAGTTTTAAGATTCATTTGTCAAAAAAATAATCAAACTTCTACATTTTTGTATAGAAATGCAGTGAATTTTTTTTTATTAAAAACGGGTGAAAGAGTATATTTTATGTATCAGTGTGTGTGTCACACTCAGAAAATGGAAATGGGTTTTCCCTCTGTGTTACAGCTAACGCTGGTGTCCCTTAAAATCAGAAGTAGAACTTTAATCCCTTCCCTGTCTCGTTTTCTCCAAAGTGTGCATGTTGCCTTATATGGACATATTTCCTTGTTGTTACTGTCGTTGCTATTGTTGTCATTGATGCTGTTGTTGATATATGATGTCATACCTTTATTCCACACTCAAACACACACCAGTCATTGCTAAGCTACATGGCGAGACAAAATCCTACAGCTTGGGTTTGATGGTTTACAGAGATTACCATATATGGGAAAACCACGCACAATCTCTCAGATTTAGACAATAAAGTTACATTATTAGGATTGCTTTGGAAGTGAAAGGATTATCCTGTCAAATACAAGAGTAAATATTTTCATTTAGCCCTAGCTAGGATTATTTGCTTGAGTAGATTAGATCTGAAAGCTTCACGTTGGAGCGAGACTCTTGGTGTTTGACAGACTAATTCTTCCGTATATTCTAGATTTATTTGAAGGATATTTTGTCATGATGAAGAGGTGGACTCAGAACAACACAATTGTTTTCATTTAACTGGAAGGTTCGATCAGTAAGGCCTTCATCTTTAAATATGCTGCTCATTGTGCTTATTTTTAAATAAAACACAACAATGATCTTATTAAATCTGTCTCTCTCTTTTGCTTCATCTCATTTATTTCTAGCAGTTTTGAATAGTACATATTTAATTTATTTATATTTATGTTTTATTGTATACATATTTGTTTGTAAATGGGATGCTAAAAAACTAAATTATAACTGCATCAACTTCTTTTGTGGTTAAAAAAAAACACCTGATGGAACTCATCTAAGTGAAGATGATGGGAACCGTTTTTTCTCATTTGTCATGTGCAGTGTCCAGCAACTCCAATGCTGATAAGGACAGTAATGCATGGCAGAGAAACTGCACCCAAATAAACAAACCAAAAACATGTCCAGTTTTGTGTAGTTTCTTGACAGCACTGGAGCTAACAGCAGTAATCAATGTTTATTTGTTACTAGCAAGTTGTTCTTAAGCTTGATTCGTTGCCTCATCTTTAGCAAAGATTTTTTAAACAGGTGTTGAAATGTAGCTAGTATTTCACTAACATTTTACAAATGTTCATTTATTAAACTTAATACGAATGTCAATGTATAACTTGCTAGCAAGTTAAGCTTTTTAATTAAGAGACTTGACACATCTGAGTGGTGGTTGTCATGAAAATAAGTGGAAAGTCATATTTGAAAGGAATTTAAAAATGTCTTACTAGATGACCAAAGGTGTATGGTTTAACTAGTTTAAGAATGGGTTAAACTTGCTAGTGAAGTCTAAGCTACTGATGTTAGTTCTTGCCAACAAACCGGTCTGTGCTGTGGTTTTTACAGAACTGTTTTAAATGCCAAGTTATTAAAATAGGTTTTAAAGGTTTATCAACATTTCATTTATATTTTATAGGATGATCCCATACAAGTTATCATTAAGCATACACCAGGTGACTTCATGAATCAGGGAGAACCCAGAGAGATTTCTGTAGGATGCTCTGCCTCCATAAAACGTTGTTGTATGCACTTCAGACTGAAGCAGTATGGGATACCGTATCCTTAATAATTATATGTATTTGGTATTGATTTATCTAAATTGATATGTTTTGAATGTTAGGGAAGTTGCGACTGCATGGATTCGGACATTTTGAATCCAATTTTGCATAAGATATCTGAATATTGAAATATAAATTTACTTTAATCAATGTTGTATCAACTGAAGTCAACAGTGAAACTAAAAATTCGAACTGCGTTGTAAAGAATAAACTAAAAAAATGTATCGTTGTTGATTTAGGCCAAGTTTTGGTGACGTAAACAACAGAGCTGGATTGAATATTGACTTTTCCCCAAATTTCCATCACTTTTATTGTACGATAAGTAAAAGCTGTCATGTCCCATGCTTTCTAGAGCAACACTCCTCATGAACATGTTTCTAGTTATAAAGAGATTCCGAGGTATTTCCATGCTCTCAGGTATGTGTGTTGTGGGTTTTATCCCTCAGAGACACATTTCTGTCTCGTTGTTTTGTCAAAGTCAACGCAGTACCTCCAGTTTCCCCCGTTTATTGCGTCCATATAATCCCGTCCTATGCTGCTGCAGGATCATAAAACAACAGCGAGGCTGCATTTGTAGAATAAACGTGACTTTCCCCCACAACTCTACTGCTGTCAAACCAACACACCTACACACACCGAGGCACCATAAAGTCATTTAGGCCAGACAGGCAGCGCGACAAGATGGCTTTATTGGAGACATTTTCCCAGTAGCTTAAATGTCCACAGAAATGTTAAAGTCATTGTCTGACCGCGGACCGCATGGACAAGCCCCGATCGTCTTTAAACAGACACAAAATCCAGGAACTAGGTGAGTCCAGATTACAGATTACTTCTATTTGCCCCCAACAACTTTTCCGTCTAAACATTATTAAATTGTTTAATTTCCATCGCGCTGTTTGTACAGGCTTTGGCGAAAGTGCACAAAGAGCCCGCCAAGAAATTTAAATTGGACTTACGTAAATTTGGCAAGTTTTTATATTTTTCCGAATTTATTCATTCATTTAGTGACTTATAAAATAATTTGACTAAGTCCATCCGCTTAGCTGTTTCTGCATCGATAATTGTACAAAAGTCCACTCACAGATTTATGAGTGTATTTTTTTTAATTTATTTTTTATTTCATATATATATATATATATA